AACCTAAATTTGACTAAACAACACAGTGACAGATGTTCAGCATTACATAAATGTCTGTTTGGAAATATTTTCAGAAGTAAATCTAATCAAAGCTTTAAATAGAGTAATGAGGCACCTACAAAGTCTCAACAATAAACAGCTTTACGTATATTATTTCTAATTTCTAATATTAGTTATTTTAGCTAAGGCAAAGACAAGATGCTGATTGATTGTTCTTTGGTTGTCCATCACTTACAATGCTGCTTCGAGCTGACAGTTCAGATGAACTAGATAGAAGAAAACTAAAACTCAAAACTGCATTCCTGTTTGGAAAACAAAATTTTTATTTTTAAAAACTTCCTTTGGTGGCTCTAAACTTATGACATCCTAGTCCCTAGTATGTTTCTGGCAAGTGTAATCCCCTTTTCTTTGATACACACCATTGAGACAAACAAGGGTTTGATCAGTTCCCGTTTCCAAATCAAAGGTTCAAATCGCCTATGTGAGGAATTTGAAACTTAAACTCAAGAAACAATCTTTGGGATTATTACATCTTCTTCTTTGCTAGATTTTCATGTAATTCTTTCAACAGCCACAACTTATCACCATGATCTAAACCTTTTACATAAAATGCTTTTGACTCTTTCTGAGCAGAAGTCATGTATCAGGTTGCAGATTTATATTTGCAGACACTGATGATCAGATCCCCGTTTCTTCTTTCAGCCTGGAGCCTGCAGGAGCCCAATGGTTAAAGAAAGGTCTGATGAAGTGTAAGAGTGTTTTTCATTGGTTTTATGACAACAAATCAGTTCACATTGAACCACTTTCAAACTGTCACAACACTCACTCAGGGGTCATCATCAACCAGTCAATAAATGATCAATAACTGCAGCTGCATTGTGTTTGTTCTCTCCATCAGATTCCTGTCAACTCGCCATCGACGCAAACACAGTGAGCAGAAAACTCAAACTGTCTGAGGACAACAGGAAGGCGACCCATGTGGAGGAGCTTCAGTCATATCCTGACCACCCAGACAGATTTGATGGTCCTCACCTGCTGTGTGCTACTGGTCTGACTGGTCGCTGTTACTGGGAGGTGGAGTGGGAAAGAAATGTTCGAATAGCCATGAGTTACAGGGGGATCAGAAGGAGGGGAGGTGGTGATGATTGTATGTTTGGATTTAACAACCAGTCCTGGAGTTTGAGCTGCTCTGATTGTGATGGTTACTCTGCTTGGCATAATAAGATAGGGACACCTTCCTCTTTTCCCTCCTCTTCATCCTCCACTAACAAAGTAGCAGTTTATCTTGACCGTCCTGCTGGCACTCTGTCCTTCTACAAAGTCTCCTCTGGCTCCCTGATCCACCTCCACACTTTCAATCACACATTCACTGAAGCTCTCTATGCAGGATTTACATGCTGGACTGGTTCCTCAGTAACTCTGTCAAAGATGTAATTTTATTTCTACTTTCTGCTCTGCCAGAAAAACTCTAGAAACTGTTACGAACTTTTATATTTTACTACAATGATCCTTTATATAACATCCCTGTTTTCATGTAAAACCAAAATGAAGAAACTCAATATAGATTTTATTGTAATGTTATTTAATTTTCTTTAACTCCATTTCCCAAAGAGACAACGAGAAAACATGAATAATGCTTTGAGATGCCTTGACGCTCATTAACTGATCCACTTCTTTGTGGACAATATAACTATATATTACATATAGTAATAATCCAGTTGTTGGCTTATCTTAGCTCTGATGCTTAATGATATGTTCCCTCTATAACATTATTTCACAAAAAATGATTATATGAAGGAAACTTACTACTAAAATGCGCAGCTACATACACTGACATTCAGAAAGAATCTATCAATTATTCTTATCCACATATTGCCAGTTATTGTGATGTGTGGTAGTTTTTTGTTGTTTTGTGCATTTGTTATGAAAAGCTTTGATTAGAAATGACTCCTGGAGATGTTAGTATGTGACCACAACCTTTCCAGAGATTGATGCTTCTCTCTAAATATTGTTTT